TTGCTCTGTATGTCCTTGAACCAGGTAATACAATGATAGTATCGCCTTGGTACACAGTGGGTGCTCAATAGAGGCTTTGGAATAAATACTTTTAGGAAGCCTTAAAACACAAATGAAGAATTTTCTACCTGGAAATGCTTTCATAGGTTCCCCGTCCCCCCCCAAGTGATTATACTTCATCTATTCCTACAGACGCTAGAGTGTATGCTTTATATCAAAATGTCTTCGCAGCTTCTGCTCTTTGCAGGTTTACTCATCGACAGAGTAAAGGCTAGAATCTTCCTTACAGAGTGTTTGTAACAGGTGAATAAAGAGCATGCCTCCAACATTCAATATGCGTGTGTCTCTTCAAACTTTGAGTTATCAGCAGCTTAACTTCCTTGCCATTTGGTTTTCATAATCATTTCTACTTGGTCAGTTCTGCTTTTAGGGATAATTTCTTAAAAACACTTTAGTTGATTTTAATACAGCTGCTGCACTGCTTTTACTCAAAAGGCAGTGAGGAAGCTAATGTGTTATACTTTTCTGTTAGAAACTACAGGTATGATTTCAAGGGATCCAATGAACTGGGGTCATAAATCCCTTGGTTTGTAAAAGGAAGAGATCAAAGTTATATCTCTGAGAATGATTAAAAGGGGTAACAGTGTGAAAAAGAATTTTCTATCGGTGTTTGCTCTGAAAACTTTAAATTTATTAATTTCAGCACATAGCTTTTGCATAAGGGTTGGGGTGAAGGAAAAGGAAATTGAAGTTTCAAAGACCTGAATCAGACCTTGACTCTCAAAATGACAAGCTGTGTGAATGAGTCACATTAAGGTCTCTAAGGTTCAGTTTCCTTTCTTTGTAAAAGAAATAACAGTAACACAATAAATATTTTGTGAGGATTAAACGAGATCATGTATATGAAACTGTCTGCAAGGAACAATAGTTTTCGACACCATGAACATATTACATTGTCAAATGTTCAAATAAAAATATCTAGCCTAATGTATCCACTCTTAAGGCTAAATTGGGAATTTAGTCTCACAGAGAGTTTCAGATGGGCAAACCAATGACTATTATTATTGTGATTTGAGTGAAAATGGGCAGAGAAAATAGGTTCTCCAGTCAACCATCGGACATGTTTTATGATATTAATTACAATGTCCAAAATGCAGTCCCATTCTTTCCACTCCTTCCCTGTGATGCTCCTTTCCATTAATCTTTCTACTCTGTCTTGACTTTCAAACCAATGTCTATTACAATTCTATTGGGGGGAGGGAGATTTAAAATCAAGTCTATATGTACTCTTTCTATGTGTAGGTAAATTGTGACTAGTCTTACTTGACTGTCAATGTTCATATTTGACATGGTTTACCCATCTTTACTGCAATATTAACTGCAGGGGGTGGGGAAACAGGTTAGCAGTCTTTCAGAGCAAAAATGAATGCATTGTGTAATTAAACTCAAGATAGTTTGGCGCTAAATAGACACAGCCTGGTAGTACACAACTTTGTTACTCCAATTGCATTGCTTTGACCAAATTAAATCTTTTTACCTGTTTAAACGTGCTGCCCATTACTCCATTTCTCTTAGTCTGTCTTAGAGAAAAGATGAACTTGATCTTTACTGTGGTTTTAGCTACTCAGGTAGCATTGCATGTGGTAAAATTCTTTTTATAGAAATATGATGTCAATGGCAGTGGGCCTTCACAGAAGCTAGCTAATGCTTTAGTCTCTAAACCATTCTTCGAAATGCTAACATTTCTCAGACAGGGTGTATGAGTTGCTATTCCAGTAATAGGGACAAAGTTGTTTGCTGTGAACGTCATTATTTCTCTTTGTTTCTTTCCTGAACAGCACTCCCATTGATAACATAGCAGAGTGGTTAGCATTCAGGTCAGAAAAAGGAAGAGACTCAACTTGACTCAGTCATATGCAAAACCAAACTGTAGACGGAATCTCTTTCTGCCAAAAGTGCTCACAAGTGACTCTTTAAGGTCATGTTAGAAGATGGAAGCATGAAATGTGCTATATTAAAAGCCTATGCCCACAAACTTATTAAGCTGAAGCTTGAATATTTAATATGAGGTGGCTGCAGATATGTGGCTTTGGAGTCGAAGGGTTTAAGAGCTAGAGTTACAGAAGGAGAAACAATTTCAATGGACCACATTTGCATTATGAATAAAGGAAGCCACTTCACTGATTCAAAAGAAACTTTGTCATATGCGAATGTCACCAAGATACGCAGCTACGGGATCCTCAAAGGATGTGTCTTTAGCTTTTAATCTGCAACAATCCTCTCATTTTACAAATGAAGGAATTGTATCTGAGAGGTTAAATGGCTTTTTCAAAATAATATGGGCAAATGATAACATAATTTTGATCTTTAAAAAACACCCAACACCACAACAAGCTAACAAACAACAAAAACACTGTTAATGAGTTGATTCCCACTCACAGTGACCCTGGTTCAGTTTTGAGGCTGTAAGCTTTTGTGGGAGGAGTCTGCATTTTTGTCTCTCAAGGAGCAGTTAGTGGATTTGAACTGTTGACCTTCTGGTTAGCAGCGCAACATGTAATACACTATATTATCAAGAGCCCCTTAATATATTTAATCTTGAGCTTCCTAATATCCACTTCAGTTCTTTGTGCCAAATCACATGATCTCCTTGCATGCACTGGATTTGTAATGTCTGGTTATAACTGAGTTCTTATTAATTTTAATGAATGGATGAAAAACAAGCTATTAATGCACCTCATACTTTATATATAAACAAATAGTGCAACTAGAACAAATCACTTGATAGTCTTTTTTGCGTGTGTACCTTTCCTATCAGCCCTAAATTTTTGGCTTTATTTGTAAATTCATATACCATAGTCACAAACTTTCATTCTGAAGACAAACACTACAGTGCATTTCACTTTCCAAAGAAAATTTAAAGAGATACTTCAAGAGTGCTAAAATGGAACAAATGTGGCTCCGGGTTTTACTTGAGCATGTATTACTTTTCTTATTTATGCCTAAAGAAAGGAACACACACTAAGGATGACATGGGTAAGATTCTAATAGCGCTCCAGCACTATGCTACAAACAGATCTAGAAAAACATATAATTGCTTAACTAAATTGCCTTGCTTTGGTCTTACCACTTATAACAATCTATCATACAAAGATTCCCAAGCTATCCATCACAAGAAGAATTAAATTATATGAGCTCTCAAGAGGTCTCGAATTTGGAACTTGCTTTTATTAAAGATCTAGCGATTCTTTACCAGGACTTTCAATCATGCCCCCGAATGGACTGCCAATAGGAAAAATAATCTGGTTTCTTTTTCTTTTTTTATTTTCTCATTAAAACATTGAAAGGAAAGACTTTGAAACTTAGTTTTTCTCTGTACCCTCAGGAGCATACTATCTGCAAAAGATGAAAGTGGAAAAGGAGAGAAGACGACTCGCTAGCCCAAACAAAAAGCTCAAGTGGAGTTCTGAGCGTCTGCTATTGTCATCGTGGGCTTTGAGGCAAGAAAGCACATTATAATCTCTTAAAAAACACCACAATGAGAAGAGAGAGGCGGCTCCACTCAGAAATATACAACCCTCTGGTGCTTCTGGTGTTACACTGAAAGGGTTCTGTATTTGCACTGGAGCGTAATGCCATGTCTTGCACATAGACACGCTCCTTCCCCAATATAACCATTTCACTGGTTCTTACTGTGTGCCAAGGCACTGGAGAAGAACTCCATATAGCTGATCTCACTTTTTTTTTTTTATAGTCATGTTGAGATAAAAAAGGCTAAGTGACCTTATGGTCACTCAAGTTAGTCAATCTGCCTTCAAAACCCATGTCCTGCAACAGCAACGAGAATAATAGTTGTTTTTAGGTGCTGTCGAGTTGTAGACAACTCATAGCGATGCTATGAACTAAAGACCTGAACACTTGTATAACTCTCATCGTTTCTCCACTTTCATAGAATTTCTGGAGGCAAGCTATTTCAGAAGTGGATGTCACTCCTGCTTCCAAGTTTGTTTTAATCCTGGAGCTCCATCACTGTCCACCACGGATAACCATTATCGCATCTGACATAGAACAACAGTAACAACAACACAACTCAATGACAACCAAGAGCTGGAATTTAGAAAATGTTTGCTACATTGCGGGTACTGTTCTAAATGCTTTTAGAAGCATTTTGACTTATGTACCCTAACAATAAACCGATGTTGCAGACTTTTATTACTACCCATCTCCATCCCCCTGCCTCCTGATGAATAACTGAGTTAAAATAATTAGCTACACTGCGTCTAAGGAACTCTGGTGGCCCAGTGGTAAGAAGCTGTGCAATAACCTCAAAGGCACATGGTTCGACTTCAGCAGCTGCTCTGAGGGAGCAGAATGGGCCATCTGCTCCTGTGTGATTATTATGTGCCTCTGAAAACCCACTGGAGGATAAGCTATAAGTTGGTTCTGATTCTATAACACATAACTACAGCTTCTAAGAATGACCTTGGACACACTTTTAATCCCTATATTTACTACGTAAATCCAGAAAAAATGTTCATGTACAGGTTTGCGAGGAGATGTTCTTTCTTCAGAGTTTTCCCCTTGTTAAGTGCTAGAGAGTCAGCCTAGCATCATAGTGACAAACCACACAGTACCAGAACACTAAATGCTGGCTTGTCCTGCACTAGCCCCATAGTTTCTTTATATAAGATTCCAAAACAAATATGTGTCAAGAATCCAAGCAAAATAATGATGCCAGTAATGTGGCTCTTAAACCATGATTCAGCATTGTCATCCATGTTTACAGTAAACAGACCAAAGACTGACTTTCAGAATTGACTAGTAGGAGACTCTAAAGCATTGGTATACAGACTTATTGAGCAGCTTAAAATATTGAAGCCTCACAAAATCTTATCATGGGCATCAAATGAAGATACCACATGGATTAGTCCTTCCAAACACGTTTTATCTGCACATTCCTCTATGGCAACAAGGAGTGGTGATGCTTGTAACGGGCCTACCTGCAGAAGCTTCCATCTGGTGTTCAGGTCTTCCAGAGTGCGGAGATTGTATGGTGAGAGCTGAATGCCCAATGTGGTGAGCTGGCGAGCAAGGTCATTGACGTGGCCTACGTTCTCTTTAAGTGGTGCAATTTCACCCCGAAGTGCCTGTGTGAGACAGCCAAAGACAAATTGGAAAATGAGAAGGCATCAAGCAAAGAGATTTCACACAAGGAAAAAAAACCACAACACATAGCTCGTTCTATTTCAGATTCAACACCAATGATGTTTGCTTTGTTAGAGTGGTACTACAGCAATGCCAATTTATTAAGGAATAATAACCACTAACAGTTATTATTTCTCATCAGTTATTATAGAGAGCTCTGGTGGCCTAGTGGGTAAGAGTTGTACTGCCAACCCAAAGGCAAGTGGTTCAAATCCATCAGCTTCTTTGCAGGACAAAGACGGGCCATCTCATCTCATGAATTACAGTCTCTGAAAACACACTGGACAGTCAGGTATGAGTCAGTTCCAACTCGACAGCAGACAACAACGATAAATAGTTATCGAGTACTTTGACCTAGTGGTAAGAAGCTGCATTGCAATCCTGAAGGCATGGGTTTCAAATCTACCAGCTGCTCCGCAGGAGAAAGATGGGCACTCTCCTCTTGTGCAATTATCTGCCTCTGAAAACCCACCAGAGGGTCAGCTATGGGTTGCATCCAACTCAACAGTACACAACAACAACAACAACAATTCTGTAATAAGGTCTATCCACATATTAGCAGCTGCAATCCAGTTGACAGTGGTTCACAGTTATCAAACATGTGTCAGATTAGAAATGTACTATGGAATACCAATGACTGATTTTTCAAAAATAGAATGCCATGGGTGCCTCTTGGTAGACCCAAATCTGCAACCTTTCAGTTATCAGGCCAGTGCTTTAACTGCTTGCTAGAGGGTATTCCTCCGCATCTGCCTTACGGATAGTTGGAAAATTGTAATTTTACTTATGACAAAATGAGCTTTCAGAGGTAAAACTTTGCTCAAGGTCCCATAGGTAACCACCGGTGGCCTTGGGATTCATAACCAGCTTTCTTGGCCTCCGAAGTGCACATTATTAACTACCCTATTATCTACACCTCCGACGAAATTCAGGACGTGTAAAAGTAACAGTGAAAAAAACAGACGACTGGTAGATTCTAAATTCCATTCATTCCACCACCAGAAATGCATCTTTATTTATTTTTTTTTAAGAACAAAAAGCTACACTGAATCAGAAAATATTGTGCTCACATGTTACATTAACTATATAATACACAGTTTCACTTAGACGGTAGGATAGTTTGTCAAGTCCCAAGAATGACTTCCTGGTCTCTTGGTAGTTCAGTCCTTGCAGTAATGACTTATCAAGGCTCCCATGGGGCTTCTCACCTGTCTAAGAAGCACTGGGGCTGGATTCTCTGATGTAATGCATCACGACAGTCTGTTGAGTGGAAGAACCCTATGCAGATATGCGAAGGGTATTACCATGCATCATACCTACCCTATTGAGATGACATTTATGGATCTTTAACATGATGCATGATGTCCAAATGTTCCAATGAGCAATTTCTAAGGGACAAATTCCCTCACTTAGGAGAACAGTTTGTGTAATGTAATGTCTCTGCACAAGGACAGCATCACTTACTTGGTTATACGTGCTGTTGTGACTTGCTTCATCTGGGGCGTTATCAGTTGCAGTCTGGTTCACTATGTTGATAAAACTACTGTTTACCTGGCCTCTCTGTGCCTCTCTTGTTACTCATCATTCTAAATACAAGGATCTGGTGTACTTGGGTATGTTTTCAGGAGGGGTGGTGAGTCCCTGGGAAAAGACATTTTGCTGGGAAAGGTGGAGGGTCAGAGAAAGGAGGACCTTCAACAAGATAGGTAGAGACAGTGACTGTAACAATGACCTTGAGTGGATTATAGATCCTGAGGATGGTGTAGGGTAGGATAAGGTTCAAGTTTGTTTATAGGGTCATTCTGAGTTGCAATTGTTTTGAGGGCACCTGACTGAACATACTATGGACTGCCAAGAGAACAAAGAGGTCTGCCCTGGAGAGGGTGAGACCAGGCTGCTCCTTGGAGGCTAGGATTCTGAAGCTCCATCTCACATCCTTTGGGCATGTTGCTGGGAGTGATCAGAGGACATCATGCCCGGAAGAGTGGAGGGACAGCGCAAGAGAGGAAGACTCTAGATGAGATGAACTGACAAAGTGACTGGGGTAATGGGGGTAAGTGTGTTAGAGACAGTGAGATTGGCTCAGGCTAGAGCAGGGTTCAGAGCTGTTGTACATAGAGTTGCTATGAGTTACAAGCGACTTAATGGCACATAATAACAACAACACAACAGTATTATAAAAGAGTCAGGGTGGGGGTAAGACTGAGAAAAACTGGATAAATTGTGTATACTGCACTGAAACAGATGAGGGAGAGAATAATTTAAAAGTGATGTATGATAGGGTCTTATGGTTATCACAAGAGTCCACAATTAAGGTTGCATAGTGGAATGTACTTGGGGCGGTGGGAGGGGTGCGGGGGGATTGTGTACCAGGGAAGGGGGTTTTTTTTTACTTTTGAAAGAGAGGAGTGAAAAGGGGGATGGGGGAGGGGGGGAAGGGATGGGCGGGGAGAGAAGTGCAGCAATGAATGAATGGAAATCAAAATCTCTGTAAATGCTCATTAAAATTATTAAAAATAAAAAGAATGCTTCTTTCCTCTTACATCCATCTGAGTGTCTCATCACTAAAATGTGGTCTTGTTTGGAGTAGATTTACAGATTTCATAGATTCAACATACTGTATCATTCCTGGATGATTCCATAGATGAGAAAGGTGGGAGAGGGGAGTAAAAGCTACTAAATAAAAGGCATATATTAAGGTGGGTGAAGCGAAAGACGATATACAATAAAAGGATGATCAGCACAATATCACTTAAAAAGCAAGTAAGTATAGACAGATTAAATGGAAGTCAGAGATACAGGGAGGAAGCAGGATAAGTGTGATTTCACTGTGGGCATAGACATTACTCTCACCGAACAAAATGCATATGAATGGTTGAATAAAAAATTAATTTGCTTTGCAACTTTCTAACTGCAATAAAACCCCCCTCAACACACTGTGATAATCACTCTGTTAAACTTAGACTTTTAAAAAGGAAGTCATTAAAATATCATATTAAAAAATTCATGGAGTTTTGTTGTTTTTTTTCAGAGTGCTGAAGATGTTCTGGAATTGCATAGCAGCAATGGCTGTACAAGCGTGTGAATATCCAAAATACCACCAAGTGTGCACTTTAACAGGAAGAATTGTATGGTGCGTGAATTATATTATCAATAAAGCAGAAACAAAAATATAGCGAGACATTGAATCACACATACGCAAACATAATAGGTGAATTATTCATACTGATTTGACTTCATGTCAGCAGAATGTCATTGGAATTTGTCTGAAACTAAGAAAGGCTTTCTCAGGTAATAGCAAGTATTATTATTCTATTTACTCCTAACTAAACACATGGATTAAAGGAGCCCAAATAAGTAAGTACCCACAGAGAAAGGTGGTTAAAATGCATATAAGTGAAATCATATCACTAACATAAAGTGATCCATAATAATTCTGTTTCACACAACAGAAATATAATGTAGCAATTTCTTAAATGTCAATGGGCAAACCAAGCAAGCCAGACAACAATGATGACTGCAAAATACAACTATTCTCTTTTGGATAAGATGACGCTTTTTATTAACAAATACAACTGAGTGGGAATCATAAACAACGAGACCTCAGCGGGGACGGACAGCAACCAGGAGGAATCTGTCTATACTGCAGATGAGCCCTTTGTGCTAACCATTTTCTTTGCTAATAGGGTTCTCAGTCATTAGGGCGAATATCCACTCCAGTTAAGCCTAATCCACACCTCTGCTTCTTTTAGATTTGCTCCTGTACACATCGAAATAGCCCTTGTTAGAACATTTCTGTTTTCATTTTCCTCCCCAAAGTCCTGGCCACAAAACTAAATCTTGTGTCAATGTTTTAGAAGATAAAAGGGCTTGTAAAAATGAGTTTCATTAATAATAATTAATCACAACATCTTGCCTTCCTCTACTTCAATTTTTGTTTTTGGACATTTCTCCCTATCTCATTTCTACACTATCATAGAAAGAAGACTAACTAAACTCCCCTAAGGTTCACTGGATGAGCCAGAGTCTTCAATCACATTTGTGGAACACATTAACTATTTTCTTCTTCCTGTTATGTGCCATCAGGTTGCCATTGACTCATACTGACCCTGTGTACAACAGCTCTGAAGCCTGCCCTGTGCTGAGCCAGTCTCACTGACTCTGACATTAACCTACCCTCATTGCCCCCGTTCCTGTATCAATCCATCTCATTTGGAGTCTTCCTCTCTTATATTGTCCTTCTACTCTTCTGAGCCTGATGTTCTTCTCTAAGGATTGGTCCCTCCTAGCCATGTGCCCAAAGTATGTGAGATGGAGCTTCAAAATCCTAGCCTCCAAGGAGAAACTTGTTTTCACCCTCTCCAAAACAGACGTGTTTGTTCTCTAGGTAGTCCACAGTATATTCAAAACCCTTCTCCAGTGCCACAATGCAGAGGCATCAATTTTCCTCTGTCATCCTTAGTCATTGTCCAGCTCTCTGAAGCATACTAAGTAACTGTGAAGACTGTGGCCTGGATCCAGTGCACCTTAGTCTCTAGAATGACATCGTTGCTTTTCAGTGTTCAGAAGAGGTCACTGTGTAATCTGTCTTTTGGTTTCCTGACTGCTTATGCCAAGAGTGTTGACTGTGGAGCTAAGCAAGCTAACAGGCTTTAAATAAAATGTTAGCAGGATCCGTGAAACTGGAGTCTCTAGATGGTGTAAAGGAGTTAAGTGCTCAGCTGCCAACGAAAAGGTTGGAGGTTCGAGTCTACCCAGAGGTGCCTCAGAAGGCAGGCCTGAAAATTTTCTTGCTGAAAATTCAGCTACAATTTTTAAAATTTTATGTGGGTACGCATAAAAAACTCATATACATTGTGATTAACACTATCCTTTATTTTTATTATGTTTCATAAAATCATTCCCATTATGTTTTGTAACATTTTGTGGAGCACTCCTCTGA